GGGCTGGGGATTCGAACCCGCCACCTTAGGTGTACGTGGCTGGCGCCTTCGCTGGTTGAGCTATAGGCGCCGAGCCTAAAGGTACTTTTATATTGAAGAATAGGGATCAAAAAAAATGTAACAAACATCTTATTCTCCCTGAGAACTGATATATTTTTGTTGGTTTAAGACAAGGTCTCACTGTCCCCTAGGCTAGAGTACAGTGAATGGCATCATAGTTCACTGTAACCTTTAAATGGGCTCAAGTGATTCTCCTGTGTTAGAATCCAGAGTAGGGCCACCACACCCTGCTTTTTTATTTTTGGTAGAGATGGGTCTTCACCTTGTTACTCAGGCTGATTTTGAACTCCTCACCTCAAGTAATCCTCCCCTCTCAGCCTCCTAAAGTGCTGGGATTACAGATGTGAGCCAATTGCATCCAGTTTATTAAGGATTTTTTTTTTAATTTCACAAGTATAGAAGAAAAAACATCAAAAACAGTTTAGTAGCATCATTATCTTCTTAAAACAATATGATACAGGCAGCGCCTGTGGCTTCAAAGGATAGAGTGCCGGTCTCATATGCCAGTGGTGGGTTCAAACCCAGCCCCGGCCAAAAAAAAACCAAAATAACAACAATATGATACAGAAGTAGTGTTCGGTTCTAACTGGTTCACAAGATGCCTATCACAAACCATTGGTTTCTTCATTCAAGTTTAATTTTTACTCAGAATTGGGTTTGACTCAGAGGTCACCATTTAGAAGAGTTCATTCCAGGCCTGGTGTGGTGGCTCACAGCTCTAATCCTAGCACTCTGGGAGGCTGAGGACAGTGGAGGATTACTTGAGCTCAGGAGTTCAAGACCAGCCTGAGCAAGGTGGGGTGCCTATAGTCCCATTCTTCTAGCTACTCAGGAGACTGAGGCAAGAGGATCCCTTGAGGCCAAGAGTTTGAGGTTGCTGTGAGCTATGATCTCACAGCATTCTACTGAGGGTGACAAAGTGAGACTCTGTCTCAAAAAGTAAATAAATAGGGGTGGCACCTGTAGCTCAGTGGGTAGGGTGCCAGCCCCATATACCAAGGGTGGTGGGTTCAAACCGGGCCCTGGACAAACTGCAACAAAAAAATAGCCGGGCCTTGTGGGAGGTGCCTGTAGTCTCAGCTACTCGGGAGGCTGAGGCAAGACAATCACCTGGGCCCAGGAGTTTGAGGTTGCTGTGAGTTGTGACACCATGACACTCTACCCAGGGCAACAGCTTGAGACTGTCTTGAGAGAAAAAAAAAAATGCAAAAACTAGCTGGGCTTTATGGTGGGCACCTGTAATCCCAGCTACTCAGAAGGCTGAGACAAGAAGATTGCTTGGCT